GCTTTTTAAATCCTATTGAATGAGCAGTCTGTGAGGCTGGCTGATTGGGACCTCTTGCCTGAGTCTGGCTGCCTGGCCGCCTGGCTAGCAGAACAAGCTCTCTCCATTCAAATGTGACTTCCACCAAGCAAAGACAGCGGGTCCACTACAATTTACAATTTCTATACTGCCCCTGCCTCAGAAAAACATTGTAATTATGCAAATGATAGGGGCAATAATTAGGCCCTTCACTGTCCCATTGTGTTTGCTGCCGTCATGTTTCCGTCCAATGGTAGGAGAAACGCAGCAGGGCACGTTGGGCTTTAAATTGCTCCTTACAGACAGCCTGCAGATGTTCACAGCATCTCCTGTCCTATAACTAGCCATCAGCCAGGGCCAGGGGGCCTCCATATAGGACACAGAAGCAGCAGACAGCTGATGTTTTACCCAGAGGCCTGCTGGTATGTGATACACTTCAATGCAATGTTCACACTGTTTACCTGTGAACACTAACTGTGTTCTGACTACTGAACGTGAACAGTTCAATTAGCCAGATAACCTGTCTGTACTGTTGTATTGTAATTAAGAATTGTAAAGAAGTTTAGTATAAATCACTTTTTAAGTCATTTGTTAAGAACAAAAATATCAACTTCTGGAATTAAATGGCAAATGCCTGCCAACATCGAGAATGGAAGTGCGTTTATTGACAGCACCAGATAATGTATGAAACTAAAACTTGTCTGGAAAGTGTGGGCAAGAGAAAGGGTTCAAAGTAAAGGTCATATTGTAAATAATAAATAGATACTTAAAAAAGGCCCTGCACACACAAACAGCGGCTTTAACTCATTCTGGACAAATACAAACATCCCAACAGTTTCAATAAAGCAAACAGGGGAGTAATGGAGAGGTTCAAAAAGCAGTTGAATAGTGCAGAGAACTGTATCATCTTATCATCCAAACTAAATACGAATTACCTTTGGCTGTTTACCACATGGTAAGTACCACACTTGTGAGTAGCCAATTGACTAAAATGAAAACGTGTGCTATTATAATAAATGTCCTCACTTCCTCTCTAAAGCTCAGAGGACATGTTCACTGTATAAAGTAATTGTATGTTCATGTCCATCAATTAAATAAACATTCAGTAGTAGTATGTAGTATCCCAGGTTATAACTCATAGTGTACTGTATATGCCATAGGTATAGTAAGGAAGTAAGACCCATTGATTGAAGACATTGACAAAAAGGTCAATAACAGAGAGACAAATAAGTTAAATAAATTAGCCAATCACTCACCTTTACAGCAATTGGCTAGTGAATTATTGTTCCGCACTCTCGCGGGAATATCTCCGCAATAGAGCGAGCTTAAGTTTCACTTCCAATTACATGACATAGCCCAGCGCCACACCTTTGTCAAACATGTTGCCACTTGTTTGTACCATTTTCAGGCGATTTGTAATCTGTTCTAGAAAGACGATGTGTTTTTTTGGATTTCAAGAAGCATATAGAACAAACAATGGATGTATTTTATGAACATTTATCCATGCTGAAAGTAGATTTAGATGTGTTAGGAGTGAGATAGAGATTATTATCTAATATATGCATCCGATGAAGCATTGCATGAAGTCTGATGATGAACAGAGGCTGTTGTTGGGGCTGCGTAAAGTTTTTTATTTTTGTTTTGTAGGCAGACCATGCAGGCCTCAGAGAGTTAAACTTGGGCCTCCGAATATAGTTTTACTGTATTTTGTTTTGAAAATCCACAGCGTATGTTTGTGTCGTAGTACTACATGCGGTTTATTTTGCATATCTCTCAGTAGCCAACAATCTGTGAGTCGGTTGGCTCGGACATAAACTCCATAATAAATGTGGTCTACATTTTCATAATCGCATTTGAACTAAATGCTTATATAATCTGTATTTGTATTGTTGATTTAATGTGTGAATGAGGCGATATAGAGAAGGTTAAGCTGTCATTATCAGGCTGTAATTTATTATATACTGTTGGAATGGTAAGCAGGCCTATTGTTTTTGGATATTAGTTGAGTGTTTTTTTATTGGTTAAGTGGTCCTTGGTATGAAAAAGTTTGAGAAACACTGCGCCCGTGGATTTTCAAAGGGGGAGCCTCGCTGCGGGGAAATTATACAGATGGCTAGTCTGCCCCTGAAAAATGTCTATACACACGTTATTATTAATAATAATAAAAAAATTGCTTAAAAAAAATTGATTAACATTTTTTTTATTTCATTTTAATTTTGTAATCATCTTGCGACCCCCACTTTGGGAACCCCTGCTCTATTATACAGTGTTTCATCACTTTAGTAAAGGTCTCAGATATATACAAAACATGTCTCTGAAGTGTTTGGCTCCAAATACCAAACAGATCACTGTAGCATCCCATAAACTAGTGATGGCAGTTTGACACTGAAGCTTCGAACGGAGCTTCAACCCTGGACTTCCTATTCCATAGAAGCAGTGCTTCGAAGCTTGCTTCAAATCACGTGACATGTGACGTCCGAAGCAGCAACTGCTTCAAATCACGTGACATTTGACGTCCGAACCAGCAACTGCTTCATTTCCTGAATGAATCAACTCACTGGTTCGCCGTCCAATCAGGTGATTCAATGCACTGCCTCGTCTCGATTCTGACAGGTGACAGGTTGAAACAGTTTCAAATTTGAGCGCTTCAACACTTTATAACCGCTCTAAACAATGCGCAATGTGTGGGTTGTTGTTGTAGTTTGCATTGTTGCTGTTGAGTTGTTGTTGGCATTGCATTTGAATTGGATCATTATAGAGCAAGCCAGGAAGAAAAATAGGTCGTTCTGGCTCGTGACACACTTTGAAATGTGGAGAAGTTGTGAACAAAAAGACAATGAGTAATATAAAAACACTTCGATGGTCTAAGGAATTGATAGCCCAGTGGATAGAGCCGGCGGCCAGGATGCGGCGATATCCTCCGCACAGCTGCTTCAAAGCTCGGAATAGTTAAACTTTTAATCATTGCTTTTCAACTTTAATACTTTAATAACTGATAAAAGGCCCTCTCTGCCCCAGAAAATGTCAAGCACTCTCTAGTCTCTTCTCAATAACCCAATACACACTATTATCAATCTTTAATTGCAAATAGAACATGATATTCAGTCTTAGTGTGTGTGTGTGTGTGTGTGTCTCGAATATTTTTCAAGGCAAAGATGCGTTAAACCCACTGCAGCCTTGCACTTCGCCAGGAGAGGTCGCTGTAACTGAAGCTTCGAGAAATGAACCTATTTCCGACACAATTGTCCAAGTGGTTCGACGCTTCGTTCAAAGCTTCATTTTGCCATCACTACTGGGAGTCCCAGCAGCTTCTACTGAAGCCAGTCCCCAACACTGGGGACTTCCGGCCGGGGATCTTGGGCGGCAGTATACGCCGTGAAGTTGTTTGCGGCCTGCCAGTAAACCCAAAGCAGAAGAAGAAGTGACGTCAGCGGTGCAGAGGCATGACAGGGGGGGCCGAGAGACCAGGAGGAAAAATTGTTATTGAAAAAATATATATAATTCTTTTTTTTTTTTTTAAATCATAATTTGTAAAATTATTGATTCAAAAATAATATGATACAGTACTATTACGTCTGGGTCTCTGTGTTTCATTAAAGCTTGGCTCTGTGTGTGTGTGTGGAACGAGCCATTTTGTGTGCGTGCGCGAGCGAGAGAGAGAGAGAGAGANCTGAGAGACTCAGTGAGCTAAAGGACTCTCTCAGTGTTATCTCAGTGGGTCTCAAACGTTTTGGTCACCATTAATGTAAACAATTATTTCCGAGGCACACGTTTATATGATCATTATAGTTATAAAAAAATAAGAGAATAAATGAAAAACAGGTATGAAATACTATTAAAAGGGTGATTTGTAAAATATCCATAGAGAAAAAATAAATGTGTTTACAGTTCTGTTTCATATGGGTGTTGAGAGATGTATCCATAGATCTCTTTTTTTTGCTCTCAAAGTGCACCAGATTGATGCAATTAACTTCAATATTTAAAAATAAATCTTCCCGGGGGGAGCTTGTCCCCGGACCCCCCTACGTGAGGTCCACACACCACCTATAAAAATAGCACTTTACCCCTGCTTACACCTCGAGCCTTCATTGTAACTGTCACAATGTGTATTTGCGTGGGGATTGTTGCAGTAGAAATTTCCACTGTAGCGCCTGGTAAATTAATGGGAAACCCTAAATGTTTGAGCACCCTCTATGAAACGTCAAGCTACCCCGCACCACCCCAAAATAAATATCTGGCGCCGCCACTGAGCCTGACTATTTGTGTTGGGGGGCCCCCGACTTATTTTTTTCTCCAAAGGGGGGGCCATGACAGAAAAGGTTTGGGAACCCCTGCATTAAAGCATTTATATACTATTTCCTTTAAAAAGTCAATGGTGACCACATTGTTGGACAAAAGTTACATAGCTACATTTGCATATATGAGTTTCCTATTTATTTCAACTATCCGCCTGCATTGCATTGGTGCAGTTTAAATACTTGTATAAGCCATTTAGGTAAAATAACAGCATTTATCATATTTGTGGAAGGTTGCAGCATTAGCAGTGCAGTAAGGTAAAGCTAACTAGCCACAAATACCATTATCAATGTCCTACGTTCCTCAACTTTATATCCTCTTAATGACACATTGCAATGTATGTTAATATCAAGAACATGGGCATGCCAAATGATAGGTATCCTTTCAAATGGTTGCAGTTGTTTTAAAACACAAGCTTTTAGAGGAAAGGTGAATGTTTGCATGCAGGTTTAGCTAACATTAGAACATGTGCCCGCATTTTAGCTGAACCTCATAGAAATATACTGCTGACTTAGCTATCTGTCAAGGCAACAACATTGAAAAATAAAATAAGGTTTTCATTACCTCCTGCATTCAGAAGGAGAATTTGCTATCACGTTGGAGTGCAGGTGTGGGGGATTAAATAGTGTCGTGGGCGGGGCCGGATATTCAAATCAGCCAATTACAGTTTGACAGAATACCAGGGGAGGATTGACAGAGAGCGAACAGCGGATGTCAACGCTTTGCGACAGTTATCCGCTATTTCCGTCACAAACACATGCAGCAACGAAAACATGAGAGGTCAAAAGTTATGATCGTAATCTTTAACAGAGACGAGACGTAACACATAAACATGGTAAGTTGGACTTGTTATTTACGAACTGGGGAGAACGTCAGTAAGCAGCTGCATGATAACGACTCTGCCGGAAGAAAACTATATAACGTTTGTTCTGAAGGGCTAAGCTAACGTTAGCATTCCTTGCACTTGCATTACCAAACACAACGTGACCAAACCCAGCTCACGTCTGATATAACGCTTTGATTAGCCAGCTTACAACATAAGTATGGCAAGAGATAATACATTGTGATTTTAAGATAAACGTAGCGAACGTTAACTGCATAGGCTTCGACACATGCGTTACCTTGTTCATGTGGCATTGTTTATATTGCGACTGAATGACAGCTTGTGAACAGAAGTACTGTGTGTCCTTATAATTTAATAACATATCTGACTCTTCTCTACTATCTCCAGGCCAGTTCCATGGTGGCTGTGGGACTGGCTCTGGCAGCAGTTGGATATGCAGGTGAGACCATGTTGATAAACACTGTATGACTCACCTTGACAGAGAATGTGGAAAAGTTAAACTTAGAATTAGTTCACCTTGAGACGACGACTAATTCAAAGTTGACAAACAAATAATGTAATGGTAAAGGATTCACTTAGAATAGAAGCTTGGTGAAAAGATAAACAGAGGTTATCATTTTAAAACATGAAATGAAGACAATAAGTTCCAGATAAACAGTTTCTCAAAATGCAGCATTTTTTGAGTTAGCTTTAATTCAGTAGTATCATATACAATGCAATACAGCTTTATCTATATAGCACTTTAAACCTCCAGACCAAAGTGTTGTACAGGCAAATAAACAAAACGAAACATACAAAAAGTAACACAGCTCAGCTCACACACCATAAAACAAGTACAAGTAAAAACAATAGACAATTTAAAAGCAATAAAAGCAACTCTCTAAAAGATGTTAATACGCTAAGGAGAAGAGGTGGGTTTTAAGAAGCGATTTCAAAGACGGCAGTGTGGCAGCCTGTCTGATGTGCAGGGGCAGATCGTTCCACAGTGGATATGTTACAGAGTTATAGTTTGATTAGTTATCTACGGTCGCCCTGAAGTGCAAGTCAAAACAACATTTCATAAAACACTACAGCATTTCAGGAAACACCACAGCATTTCAGGAAACACCACAGCATTTCAGGAAACACCACAGCATTTCAGGAAACACCACAGCATTTCAGGAAACACCACAGCATTTCAGAAAACGCTTCAACGTTTCAGAAAACACCACAGCATTTCAGAAAACGCTAAAGCATTTCAGAAAACTCTTCAACTTTTACGGAAAGGGTATTCCTTTAGGGAGAACACTTCTTGTTTGTGATTGGACAGAGCCAGAACCTGTGATTGGTTGTTTTTGCTGCCAGTCAAGAAATGGCGCTTCATGATTGGTCAGCACCCGACAGCGCAACATGTCCCAAAACATCAGCCGTTAGCACAGAGCTCACAGCTCCTCATATCTGTTCAGAAACTAGACAAAAGTGAAATATGAACAAACCACAGACTGTTTCTGTCATAGCAAATTCAGTCGCTGCTTTATTTATGTCTGTATGACGTTGTTGTGAGTTTGGACGGAGCAGCTACAGGTTGGTTTATCCTGATCGATCCGATCTCCATTCAGAAAACGCGCATTTTAAAAGGTTTTTCGACTTGTCAAAGCATTAATTCATGGTTTTTACTAACCGGTATCAGTATGTTTTTACTTCGGCATCATTTTGAAACGTGTATTACAATTAAATCACGGTAAAATATGTTCATTTTGTTGTAGTATTTACATGGACATAAGCCCCGAATATTCGAAAAAAAATGACATACATGAAAATAACCTTGATGCATAGGAATGAAACAAACAAACTATCTTCCATGGCTAATACTGATATGTCACAGTGTGTCACAGTAACGGTAAACCACAGAAAAGTAAGTCCAGCGGGGCACAAGTTGAATCCATATAATACGGAAGCATTTGTACATCGTTCTTAATGTGATGTATAGTAGCTATGATAGCTGTCCATACCTTCAGACAGCCTAAAAGTAAAACACAATAATAAAAATGCTTACATGACATGTCCTTTGTTAAACATTAAGCTGTCTTTGGCTCTTTTCTGCTGTAACAAATGTAAATTTCCCCTCTGTGGGACGAATAAAGGTATTCTGATTCTGATTACATTTAACCTGTTGTGGAAACATTTCTTGATCAAATTGATATGAAACAAATTAGATAAATATCGCTGTGACACTGATGTCACATGGGACATTAACCCTAAACATTCACAGTAAACCAGGAGTGCACAATTACAAATATTATTATGATCTGCTCAGTTAATTTAGTTAATATATTCTTTATTATTCAATTCAAAGTATGTTCAAACAAATGTAAACCAAAAAATCATCCTCGTTAATTTAGTTATAAATAAGAGTTACTTTACCAATGTGACATATGTCACATTTCAGATATGTGACACTAGGGGGGGTTTCTTGTCAGAAATGTGTTCTAGTCTAATTGACGTTCCCCTCTAATTTCCCAAAAGTAGAAATGGGTCCGGGTTCTTATGGGTTAAACGTATCGCTTAAAAGGCATAATAGAACTACCGTATTATATGTATTAAACTTGTGTCCCGCTGGAATTACTTTTCTGTGGTTTACCGTTCCTAGTCTGTGACATATCAGTATTAGCCATGGAAGATAGTTTGTTTGTTTCATTCCTATGCATCAAGGTTATTTTCAAGTATTTAATTGGTTTTCCTGCACAGTGTAGAGTCTTCTTGTGATGAGAGGGACACAGGTGTTTCATAAAAAAACTTGCTCGCTGGTGAATAGCTACAGAACTTATATCACAATTTAATCGGTGCGGATCACGACTTGTCACAGATGATCCAGTCATCTCGATGCTGCTTTCGGGCTGTGAATAATAGTCAAATGTCAATAAACAACTTGTGTTTTACTTTTAGGCTGTCTGAAGGTATGGACAGCTATCATAGCTACTATACATCACATTAAGAACGATGTACAAATGCTTCCGTATTATATGGATTCAACTTGTGCCCCGCTGGACTTACTTTTCTGTGGTTTACCGTTACTGTGACACACTGTGACATATCAGTATTAGCCATGGAAGATAGTTTGTTTGTTTCATTCCTATGCATCAAGGTTATTTTCATGTATGTCATTTTTTTTCCTGTGTAACCGCACAGGGTAGAGTCTTGTTGTGATGAGAGGGATACAGGTATTTCATTAAAAAACTTGCTCGCTGGAGAATATCTACAGAACTTATGTCACAATTTAATCGGAGCTGATCACAACTTGTCACAGATGACCCAGTCATCTCGATGCTGCTTTCGGGCTAACTTGTGTTTTACTTTTAGGCTGTCTGAAGGTATGGACAGCTATCAAAGCTACTATACACCACATTAAGAACGATGTACAAATGAAAGTCGGACACAAATATATATATTTCCATCTCTTCTTCCATTCTTTACAACTCAGTTTAAAATTCGTGCAGAAACAGCTGAATAGTACCANTGAATATATTTGTAGGGCCATACCTAAACAGAAACTTGTCTGAGGCGAAGTTTTTTTTTCAAATAACCAAAACAGATCATAGCATTTTACATGGCTTCATTTCGCTCTATTTGGCATCTTTTTTAGTGACCTGTTTTTGCAGGGCGCCTGATCTGAGAAGTCTTCTTCGCTGCTTTTTTGCAGACTACAGCGCCACCTACAGACTTGCATATGTACTACAGCCGTCTCCAGGCGCTTTCGACGGCATGGGCCGTGGCTTCCTCCTCCCCTGATAGCGGAGCTGCCTCGGTTCTGTATGCAGTCTGTATCAGCATCCGTCTGGCAGCCCCGTTTTCTAGAGATTTGGGTATGGAGGAAAAGAAAGAGAGGGTTTGTTTTCGGACACTTGGTGAGTTCCCTGACACACCGGACAACATAATTCATGTATAAAGTACTTAGCAAAAGTGCATTTTGGCATGATAAGGTCGCACCTTTAAAATACCAAAGCAGATCACCCATTGTTAGCCATGGCCCTCATAGCTGCTCTAAAGCCCTCTTTGGCAGCTCCTGTAGAGAAACGCGGATTTTGGGTTCCATTAGAACTTGAAAAAAAAAAAAAGAGGAGGGCGGAGCCAATGCCTGATGATCAGAATTCTACCCCGGCCGATAAAAGTTAAATTCGCTGTCTAAAACGCCATGGCCTGTTCTAAGCCCGCCCACCCCACCCCCCACCCAGCCGCCACCCCCCGCCACCCCCCCCCCCCCCCCCCCGCCGCCCCCGCAACATCAAGGATTCATTTCTGAAACCGTATGGAGCTGCAAATGGTTTTCTCTTGCGGGTTTTATCACAAGGTGAGTTCGTTTTTTTAGTTGCTTGATTTTTAACACATGTGCTTTAGCAGTCAGGTTAGGCTCTGAGTGTTAGCGAGCTTGCTTAATGGTAAACAAAGATGAGATTATGTCCACAACACGTCAGGCCATTGTTTCTGAAAGGCAACTTTCTTGTGGGGTCCGCCGCCCGATTTTGACGTCAGATCGGTAGCAAATCTGTATCCGCTCGTTGTACCCCCGTTTTTTTTAATATTGGGTACGGAGGATTTGGGTACACATAATTTATGTATAAAAGACATCAAAAAGTGCATTTTGCGTGATAGGTCCCCTTTTAAAATGTGTGTTTACTGAATGGAGATCGGATCTATCAGGCTAAACTAACCTTTAGCTGCTCAATCCAAACTCACAACAACGTCATACAGACAGAAATAAAGCAGCGACATATTTCTGAACAGATATGAGGAGCTGTGAGCTCTGTGTGCTAACAGCTAACGGCTGTTGTTTTGGGACATGTTGATGTGGTGATGGGTGACAGCATATGTATGTACATTGTAAAAATATTCCCTTAAGATTTCCATCTCTTCTTCCATTCTTTACAACTCAGTTTAAAATTCGTGCAGAAACAGCTGAATAGTACCAAACAGGAAATACGTGGCGCTGTCGGGTGCTGACCAATCACGAAGAGTCATTTCTTGACTGGCAGCAAAAACAGCCAATCACAGCAGTGCTTCTCTGGCTGGCTCTGTCCAATCACAAACAAGAAGTGTTCTCTCTAAAGGAATACCCTTTCCGTAAAAGTTGAAATCTTGAAGTGTTTTGTGAAATGCTGTTTTGTCTTGCAATGTGTTGTAAATAAATTATTTAAACATTGTTTTCTAAAACTAACAACATGAGTAAAGTTTGGTCTATTTCTTTATTGTTTTCCTGATGTCATGCATAAGAATTGAATAGTAATCATTCGTTACGTTTGCAATACAGTGATAGTCATATGGAATAAAAAACACCCAGCCTGACTTCAAAAATGACAGTTTATTTTTTGTTTTAGTGTTAAAAAAAGTAGACCTCACGAATATTAATATCACACAATATAAATACGCTGCATGCTTCCCTCTTCTTTGTCTCAGGTCGCTATGCCATGAAGGCCATGAAGCAGATGGAGCCTCAGATGAAAATGGCTATTCAGAGCTTCCCAAAAACAGTAAGGAGATGCTCAGAAGAAGTTTATCTGCAAATTAAAATGACTGTATGTGCTGTTTATCTCTTGTACTCGCATTACCTTTTACTAATTAGCTTGTTTGTAAGTAAAGTTGGCAGACCCATCATGTTGTGATATGAAATGTTCATTTTCTTTCTTTCTTTCAGGCTTTTGGAGGAGGGTTCTATAAAGGTGGATTTGATCCAAAGATGTCCAAGAGAGAAGCTTCCCTGGTTTTAGGTGTCAGGTATGTGGACACTCAGTTATGTTACAGTACGTCAAATGGGTTAAGGGCTGCTGCATGTTAACCTGTTTTGCCGTCGTCTGTAATTGAACTCCCTATTACATAGGGATGGGTACCGAGCCCCGGTATTAAACGGGCCCCAGGGCTGGATTATTAAAGGCTGTGGTACCGTTAAGCTCCGACGTTATCGGTCTTTTTATTGGTACTGGAGACATCTAAAAAAATATGTCATATATATTATGCTACACAAACATTATATTGCAGTTTTAGTGTCGCCAACTCCTTTTTGTGCAAAAAGACTGCAAAATGCGTCGATCTTTCCAATCCAGAGATCTCTCTCCCCCGTCTGTGTGCGAGGGGGCGGGGCAGTTTACACACACGCGGCTGCTACATGCAGCAACACACACACACACACACACACACACACACGGAGGAGATGGCGGAGAGAACGCACTCCAAGGTGTGGTTAGACTTTACCCGTCTCGATGTGGACAATGCTCGTTACCAAAAGAGTTTAGCATGTAAGGGCGGTGGTAACACGAGCAATTTGTCTAAACATTTAGCAAAAGTGCACCACATCCACACGGAGAAATGCATGGTTTTTGACTGTCTTTCTAGCTCTATAACCCTATCCACAAGTAATGTTTCCACGTCAGGTGTTATGTATGCTAGCAGCAACACAGTTAACTAAATGATACAAACATGGGTTAATGATTAGAGGTAACAGAGTTATTTATTTTGTTAAAGTTTCAGCTATTCTGTTTAAAATTCTGTCATCAGATTATTTAATATGATTTGTTAAAACATTGTTGTTTCTTTTGATGTGAAATATTATTTATTTAATTTACATAAAAAGCTATGTTAATTTTGTTCACAATTTGTTTAGTTAGTTTACCTTATTTTTTCTCTCCAAAAGAACCAATAAGAGTAACGTTAAAAGACCGGATCGATAAAAGTAGTAGTACCATTAAAACCTTAACGATACCCATCCCTACTATTACAGCAGATCAACTCTTAACCACCACCATTCACATAATATGTTGTATCTTTGTTCCCCTTGCAGTCCCACAGCCAACAAGATAAAGGTCAGAGAGGCACATAGAAAACTGATGACCCTGAACCATCCAGATAGAGGTAAGCAAGACTTACTTAAGTTCCTCATTGGTTCCTGTATTTTCTTTTTAATGTCTCACATGAAATGCAAAGTGTATCCACAGTACACTGCATTATAATAAGTTTTCTCCTCTTGTTGAGAAACGGCTTGTTTTTCTGAAAATTACATTATTTGGAAATGTATGCATTTCACACACACATGCAGCATGTTTGCAATGATTCAGATTATTCATTTGGGCTTTGTTGAATCTCAATGTGTGTGTCACAGGAGGATCTCCCTACCTAGCAGCTAAGATAAACGAAGCAAAGGATTTTTTGGATGCCGCGGGAAAGAAGTAGAGGAGATGAAGTCATATTTTTCATCCACACTGACTCACATGAGCAATACCAGACTTTTCTAACCGATTGTTCTCAAATAAAATCACACTGTACAAATCATCAATGCAATTGTACTTAAATATTTCATTGTATTTTAGATTTACTTTGAATACTTTTCACTAAATGTTTCTCAAAAGGAGGTCTTTTACACAAACGGGGACTTAAACTATATTTTATTCATCATTCAAATAAAATAAACATGGTCCATCCCAAAGTGACCTTCTATTTCTAGAATAAATTGCCAAATATAAATAGTTACCACGAATGGTTGATCCTATACCTGGGTTTGAAGCTACCGGTACTTAAATATAATTTCATGGGTAAATCCTAAAAAGTGGAACAGTATAAACAGGAACTCTTCATGCTCCTCTAGAAAAATGTAACAGTCTTAATATGTAAATCAGTCAACTTTCACTCTTTCAGGTCCTAACTGAATCAAACACCATTTTGAATTGTATTTGTCCCATATTGCTTTTTTCAAAGAGTCAGACACAGTTGAGTTTTAGATCTACATGGAAGATCGAGTTTATTTAAGAACTACCTGCATACAAAACATATTGCACATCAACCAACCAGAATGATCCTTTAAAAAAACAAAACATACTGTAGTTGACCCAATAAAAACGCTTGGGATGTCACAACTCTCAGTAGTCCAAATTGTCATTTGTCTCAAAAAAAACCTAGGTAACGCATATTTTAGTGTCAAGAAAAAGGAGAGCTTCTTTTTTTGCTTTTTTTTTTTTTTTAAATACTGTACATTTTAAAATAAATAAACCAAATAAATCTCCTTTCTTAGTGGAACAGTCGTGACCAGTTTCCAGCTAGCCAGTCTGTGGAAGAACCATGAAAATGACATCGTCACCTGGGCTTTGTTTTCTAGAAACATCACACCAGGGTTATCAACACAGGACTTTTGCAATAAGGGGCATACAAAGGGTATAATGACCCCTAAGACGCTCTAAATGAGCTTTAATTCTCTTCATTTAGCTGGAGTTATGGCAGAAAACAGCACTCATCAACCCTCTTGCTCTAAATTCGAAGTGCCTGATGTTAATTCGATGTTTCCAGGAAACCCAACACTGATGGCTACATTTCTGGACAGGACAGTTTCCAGACTCAACTAGAATCAACTTTTTAAAAGAGAAAAACAGGTTATGTTTCAGTGCGAAGAAAACAACTCCTCAATTGTTTGTTTCTTTTCCAGACACGCAGTTATAACAATTCTTATATGACCAAAGTGGTTGCATATTGAAAAACAGAAAGCAGCTAATGTCAAACTCCTCAACAGATATATTTATTTATATATATATATATATATATATATAAAGGATAACTGGACTCATTTTCTCCACAAACATTAAGAATAGACACACCTGATTTTATAGAGATATGCCTCCGAAATCCTTTCACGCTCTTTCAGTGTTGGCCTCCACCTGCCTACAGTGCCAGGAGGACCCATGCAGCACAAGGAGGCGGGGGTGATGGAGTAACACGGAAACAAGTGAAAAGATTTCAGATGTTGTGCAGAGCCAGGCAACAACATGTTGAATCTACTCTCAAGGCACAACAGATGATCACATGTATGTCTGACATACTTGGGTTTCCGAACAAACCTATCTGTACGGTGGTGCTGCTCATGCAGAATATTTTTATTTACTACTTCAGATGCACAAAACATCCTGAAAAAGGTTGCGAGTCCACCTGATAAAAGGCAGACACATTCTAAAATCCTGCTATGATCGTTTTTTTTACCAATAAAATAAAAATAATCCCTGTCTGCATTTTATAAATACTGCATTCAGTGAAGAGTGGACTGAGAAGTACAGTTAAGTATATGTCCGTGTGTGTTTGACTATCTTTGGCAAGCTTATACAGGAAGAACTATTGTAATAAAAAAAAACGATTCAAATGAATAGTTGGACAGAACACGTGTAAAGGGGAGTTCAGACCTCTTAAACTGCGGAACAGGTTTCAAATACTTGTAAAAAAGAGAACAGTGCTTGTGTTTAAATGCTTTCCTTAAAAAGCTGCTCCAGAGACAGGGAGATTCAATTGAGTGCAGCCAAAGAATTTCAAATATTTGAAACCATTTCCCTCACCCAGGTCTGACTAGGAGAGCCCGTTAGCGACAGGTTGTGGGTTGCAGTCCCCTTGGTAGGAGACTTTGGCGGGAGTCTTGTTGTGCTCACCGTCTCCGGCATTGTTGTTAGAGCCGTTGGTAGTTGCCGGGGCCGACGGCGGGCTGTCCTCAGCAATGGCATCCACCTGACCCTGGACAGAAATGAGGGTTAGACACATGTAGTCAAAAAGCTGGAGAGACTACGGTGAGGCGACGGGTAACCATAGTGATGTATTTCGGTCATGTAAAGCTTGAAGTGGCTTCTGGGAATCATCTACAAGAGAGCTCTCTAAATTAAAAACCCACTTCTCCTACTGAGAAAGTATAACACAGATTCTTACTTTTTCCAAGTAATAAGAGTAGCAATATTTAAACAAATTACAACGAAAGTGGTTAAAAAAATGATAACTTAATAAACTCAATGTAAGAATCTTGTAGATTAAATATATGGAATGAAAACCTGAGAAAATAATTATTACAGTTATCTCTGACGATCGGTTGGTAAAATGGTTGAGGCTTAGAGCACAAAACATTACTATTGACCCTCCAGTTAGATGTGACCATTGACAATGTACTTATGAGAATAATGATGTAGTTGTTAGCGGTTAACTATATCCTACATATTATATTGATCATTCATTTCTCTTTTTTCCAATTTGTGGATTATTATTTTACGTAAGTAGGTTTTAACAGTATTTGATTTGGTTGTCTTTGCCCTGTGACCATATCATTTATAAAAATAAAACATAAATTGAAACAAATTCAACCTTAAGTTGCAGGGAATAACATATTTCATAAAGAAAGCTTCTAAATTGAGGGGTAGAAATAGAGACCATCCGGAATAAAGACGTAACATTTTAGATACTAACCACATCTTTGTTTTTATTGGTGTCCTTGGTGGTTGTCATCTCTCTGCTCTGAGAATCAGCCCGGGATATGTAGTCAGCCACTGACACTGTACGCAGAGAAGGAAAAAAACCCTGGTCATGACATTGAATCAGGAGTTCTCTCTCAGTGCTGTGAAACTGAGCAGATTTGTCACTCACAATCAGAACATATTAATTTCACACACAACACTTTGGTAGTGTTGTGAAGAACATTAAAATAGATCCTGTCTGAAAGGAGCCCATCAGCACTTTTAGACTTCTGTATGTAGAATACAATAGCCTAACTTGAGGCCATGTATTCTTGACATGTAACACAGAACAGAGGGTTGGAGGTCAGGCTTACTATGACACACCACACAAACAAGGACTGCCATTGACAGCCTGACAACGTGAAGACAGACAAGCTGTATTATAGTCGTTAGTGAACAAGTATTACGATGCATATTTCTAAATTGCACGGCAAACCAGTGTGAACAGTGTAGGCTAGTAAATCAACCACATCCAAAAACAAGCAATTACATCATTATTAATAAGATCTAAACCATTTCAACAACTCTTTGATTTAGTATGTTGTTCGTGATATGTGCAACCTTTTAGCCAAGCCATTAGGAGCACTGTTTAGGGGAGGGGTGTACTGGCAGTAGCCATGGTTACCTGGCTGCCTCTCCTCAGGCAGGCGGGCGCGGCGACGTCGACTACGGTTACGACGCTGAGGTTTAGCTTCTGAGTCATCTAAGGGTGTTAGGCCAGCACAAAGAGAGGGATTTGAGGCTTAAAACACCTCTCAGACCAGAGGCCTGTCTTTAAACTGCACAGGCTCCTTTGACACTTCAAATGGGAAATGATGCACATTCTGCACAACTCCCACAGCTGGAAACAGAACTAGTAGCTTTAGGAAATGTATGACAGACCTTTTGACAACAGTGTTTGAGATGTTTGTACTGTTTGAGTTTGGGAGTATAGGTCTGGTAAGCAGTGGCTTCCCTACCTATTCCATTTTCGCTCATTGAGGTGTTGTCCGACTCGCTCATGCCGTCCATCAGAGTGGTTTCCTCGTCTGTTCTGCGCCTTCGGGATCTCCTGCGTCGGTTTGCAGGCAAGTTGGACTCGCTTGCATCCGTATCAGCAGTCTGGTCTGTCTCAGTGTTTGCCTCCGCAACTCTGTAGGCACTGTTATCGTCATGGTCGCGAGGCCCGGCTGAAGGGTCAACATTCACAGATATAATAGAGTGACGCAATGACGTAGGCTTGCAAGGGCTCTCGCTACAGAAAGCCAATGGATTTATTTGTGACTAAGAATCAATATGATACTTATATGTTCAATAGTTGAAGCACAGATGCAATCGGCAGAGGTAAATAGCTAACGTAAAGCTAGAAACAATCTAAACGACTTCTGGTGGCTAAAGTTTGACGTGATGAAGCTTAGTTAGTCACTTGCAACCGCCATTTTTATGACAGACATATTTTATATAATATATGCATCTAACCAAAACCCATTGACTTGGAGATGAGGTACTTCAAGAAAGTTTAAATGCAAACTCATATCCGGGTTAAGGACTTATTCCTGCACAACTCTATAGGTAAGTCGAACTAGACTTTTACGAGAGAAAGGCAATTGTATGTGCTACTCTTCAAATCCTCCAAGTGTGACTTTTACCAGAGCTGTTGCTGTTTCCTCCTCTTCCTCCTCTCCCCCGACCTCCAGAACCTCCTCTGCCTCTGCCGGGTCCGGGCCTCCTGCGGCTGTCTCTCTGTGGCCGGGAGCCTCTCTCCCTCTCCCTGTAAGTCAACCCGTCAGTCAATATAACATGTAGCTGCATTTCAGTAGAGAGGATACTATGGAGTCAGATTTGGGTCAATATTCTAGCACGCAAAACAAGCTACTCACGAGCGGAAAATGTGCTTTTACACGTGCATGAAATGACCCTCGCGCGCAGATTAAACCCCCGCGATCTATATATCTATATCTATCTATATCTATATATATATATCTATATCTATATATATATATATAGATATAGATATATATATATATCTATATAGATGCAGCCAACACTAAAAGCAGCTTCACATTTTGTACATTTGTGGATTTGATACAAAATAAACATTAAAAACTCGCCTGTCCTGATCGTCTGCAGCCAGGGACCAGTCGCTGAGCTCATCCCTGCGCTCTGAGTCTGTCTCAGAGGCGTTGGACTGCTCAGAGTTGGTGCCTGGAAGAGCAAACAGACGAGAGAGAGACCGCCACACAGACAGGTTAGGACTGATGGTCAAACACTTAGAATCATTTGTGTCCTTTATTTTTCAAAATTCCAGAGAACATTAAAACATGTTTTGAATGTGCAGAACGTTTTGAGGAAGAGCAGCAAACATGGTGATAGGATTTTGGGTGCATAAATATTCATCAGAAACCAGGAAAGTCTAAATCTAAATGTCATCATGTTTTTTTTTTTTTTTTTAAATAATACATTTTAGTATACATTTAAGGCTTAGCAACAAAAAAAAAGCATTATTTTTATGAATTTGAGCCCCTGCCCCTCTAACACACTCTGATATTGTAATGGATCCTTTCACACTGTTTATGATTTCCTGCACAAATGACACATTGTTAACACGACAATGTCTGACAGTAAATAAGTTGATCAATTTGAATGTAAGTTCCATACCATATCCGGTGCTGTAGCCGTGGCCTCTGCGCCCGCGCCCTTGACCGTTGTAAGAGCGACTGCCATGTAAAGAGGAAGAGGAGGCGTTGGCACT